TTCCATGTACAGTGGCCACTGGTGTTTGGGGAAGGAAGGCTTTTAGAGTAATACTTCAGATATGTTCTTAAGTTAAAATAAGTACTTAAAAGGCAAGGTGACATAAAGATTTCAAAGAATTAAAAGTTTCTGTTAGGCTTTGGTGCTCCTTAGAAGGATTAAGTTATTCAACAAGTCGGTGTCATTGAAGAAAAAAAGCCAAATAGTTACCGTGAGCCCTTATGATGTAGGGCTGAACCAGTTGTTCAATTGATAAGACAACTATCAAAGTGCTCTGAGCATTGTTCATACATTCTTTAATCATTTTAATCATGCTTTATCATAAGTTCTTTCATTAGCTCCATTTTACTTAGAAAACAGGCAGAGAGAGAGAATGCAACTTGCCCAAAGTTTCACATAAGTGAAGCTGGGGTTCAGACCAGGCAGTGGCTATAAAACGTTAAGTTCTTAACCATGGTACCACACGGCCTGCAAGTAAATCACTAAAATATCCAGCTTCCTCCAGTGACCTATAATTAGTATCATTTTTTATGCTTAGTAATTGTAAGTCATTAGATGAAAACTTTGTATTAAACACTCTGCTTACTCAAAAATATATCTAGTAAGTACAGGTTAAGGTTATTTTGTATTAGAAATCATGCATATAGATTGTTTTTTCTCAGTTATTATTTGGTTTAAAGTATGTTATAAAAATTTTAATGTGGGGAAGCAAAAATGTTAGAAAAATTTTGTTTATTGTTATAATTCTTGGCCTAGGAAATATTTGCTTCATCATTCAGCACTGATTAGTTGCTGAATTCAGTTTTGAAAATGCCAGTAGATTTTTGTATTGACTTTTAGAAGTTTTCCAGTCTTAACATTTGATTAATCACTTTTATTTATAAACTTCTTCCTTTGAAAATGTTTTATTTTTATTGGTGACTTGGAAATAATAAAATTCTTAGTTTTTTTGTGAGGCAGCATGATATAAAAAGGTTGAGTTTTAGAGTTACGTACACAACAGGTTTGAATTATAACTTACTACTTAGTGGCTTTTGGACCTTGTGCAAATTACCCAATTTTTTTAACCCTCAATTTCATCATCTGTGAAATAGTAATATTACCTTATCAGATTGTTAGGGTTAATTGAGAATGTATTTGGCATACTGTCTGGCCTATGTTCTCTACATCTTTCTAACTAATGATTGAAGTCAGAATTTTGGATAAAATCTGAAACTATAAATAGGGAAGGTAAGAATCTGAAGGGAAACCTTAAAAAGACTGAATTCCTAGATTCTATTTAAAGGAATGACTGTATTTGTGCTCTGTAAGAGATTGCATGACCATGTATTGTTGGTCTGCAACACACTCTCTTGTTGATCCTGGCCTCTATTTATCCTTAAAACTAGAGGATTTTCCATCAGTCTTGCCGCCTTCTCCAAAAAGCACTGTGTGAGCTGTACTGGACTGCTTCCTGTTTCTGAATATTTTATATATTTCTATATCTCTGCTCTGTCCTCTTGGAATGTAATTGCTCTCGTTTCTTCTTCTGGCCACTGATATCTGACTTCTTATAAGGATTATCTAATGTATTACCTAAGCTTTCTCTGTGCCCCTGCAGAATTAATGCCTCTCCCGGTCTTAAAATATCTTGATCTTACTTATAATAACAGATACTTTGGCACAGTTGTAGGTCTGTGTGTCTGTTTTCTCTGATAGAATGGGAACTCTTTGAATGCAATAGTCTGCTTACTTAGCCTCATATTCCCAGTGCCCCTTGCACAGAACGTTCAATATGTGTTTGATCAGTGAATGGAAGGGGCCAACTGAGCTTACTTTAATCAGTATATAATGTCCCCACTTCTGTATAGCTATAGACAATTAGTTTTCTTAAGTAAGTTAACCAAGCCTTTGCAACCTTATATACTTGATTAGTTAGTTTCATAGTGCAGAGATAAATTTGAATTTAATCCTGGTTAAAATGATAACATTTCAAGGGGCTTTTCACTTCTATGCTTTTCTATAAGGCTAAAAAGTCTTACTAGCATTTTCAGTGAAATTAATGGCTAGGTTACATAAGCTTGTTAGTAATTATCATTTTCTGTACTATTATTGCTAGAATTATCTAACATAGTAGTAGTATAATAGTTCTTTGGTGCATTGCTTTGGAAAACTTGGATGATTTCAATTTATATTTTTGACTAAGATGTATTTGTAATTCTTTTAGCTAGGAATCCAGATTGGTGGTAACTGCTACTGCTTTAGGTTCCCTACTGCTACCTCATTTTTTTCTGTTATTTCACATTTTCTTATGTTTGTGCTCCAAGACAAGTTAAAAGTAAAGATTATTCACTTTCAGGAATTGTACTTGATTTGAGCCTCTCTTCTCTTATGCTTTTGTTTTTCTCATGAATGTACAAAATATTCTGAAGCATTTTGATAATTGCAAGCTCTTCTTAGGTAGGGTAATTTCTTATAATAGAATAATATATGACAGAATATTCATGATGTTAAAAATGATAATCCTCACAGTTTTATTCTGTAGTCTATAATAGAAAAAAACCCTTTGAAGTTGGTGAATTTATGTATTCTCAAAGTGACAAAAATTGTTCCTGGCACATAGTAAATGCTATATACATTCATTCATGCATGCATTCATTCATTCATTCATTCATAGAGACCATTTTTAAAAAGTGCATATAGCAGTTTTAAAAACTGCATATAGCTGACTGCAGGGCAAGACAATATTTTGTCATGACAGTAAATAGACTTGGATATAATTATAAAACAAACATAATTTAGAAAATCTGTTATGGAAACAGTACAGGTACATTGTACCAAAATTAGAAAATACAAAACAAGCAAAAAAAATGACAAAAATATATGTATTCACACCACCTAGAGATTATTACTTTTAGAGTCTTAGTTTGTAATCTTTTTGTCTACATATGTCTGTATGGATGTGTATATATTCTATTACCAAAATGGTATCACTGTACATTCTTTTTAGAAACCTTGTTATCAGTCAATAATGTCTACTTTTCTATTTCAGTAAATTTTCATGTAATCAAATACCCAGATTATATTAAAATTTCTCTAACTGGCTCAAAAATGTCCTTTATGGCCTGCTTGCCTAAAACTGTGTCCAGAATGGCATTGTACCCATGAACTTGGCTGTTAGAAGTCTTAAGTCTTTTAAAATCAGGATTGCTAATTCATCCCTCCCTTCTCACCTTTTAAGATATTTGACTTTTAGAAAGATACTTGAAAAGATACTAGGTCATATCCTACAGACCTTTGGCCAGTTTACTTTATCATTATCATTTAGTTTGTTTATCTCATATATTTTCTGTAAAGTAAAATTTATATCTAAATGGTTGATGGGTTCTTGAGTTGAAAATAACTTGGCTAGCATAGATGATGTTATGTCCTTCATATTGCATCACGTGGGAAGTTTCATTATGTACTTAATTTTCTTGGTGATGCCAAGATTGACCACTGAAATTGAGTGATGGCAACCTTTTCTGCCTGTTTAATTATCTTTGACTCCTTACCATACCAAGAAGTAGAGTAAAATTGTAATGTCCAAATAACCCTTGAAATAAATCCTTTTTAATTGGTTACCAATTTGATATTAGGTTTATCTTCTTCTGATTGTTTCAATGTATGCTTCTCTTTTCTTTGAAGCAGCCATTTTTATTAGTTTTGTGTGTGTGTGTTGGGTTCAGGTCCAAGCAAATATATGTATAAATATTATGTATTTTATCTAGAAGGAAAATAGTATTTATTTTATACAAAAGGTAGCATACTGCATACCCTGTGGTGCTTACTTTTTCTTAAAATGTTCTGTAGATCTGTCCCGTCAATACACAATAGTCGTATGGGTAGAACATACAGTACACATAAAACCTTTTCTTAAATTATATTAAAAGCTTTCAGTAATTTGAGAGTTTATATTTGGATTGAAAAAAATCAACTCAATGTGAATGAAGCAGAAAGTAAAGAAAAAAGGTCTAGAAAAGGGTACTCAATTTGGTGAATTTTGAATTGTATTTGAAAGATAAATGGGTCCAGAAATAGGTAGACAGAGAACTTTAGAGAGAGGGTCTTGGGGAGAGGCTTTTGGCAGCTAGTTTGGCTGGTTTGAAATGTCTGTATCGGAAAATCCTGAGATTACAGATTGATGGAACTCAAGAAGAAATGAGAGCTGAAATGATGGACAAAATGCATGGAAATGTAGATTGTTTGTTTTTCATAGTTTAATGTAAATTCTTCTGGAGTGTAGAAGTTTGTTTTTATGCCAACTATTATGTGTAACAACAGAATGAAGTGGGAATATTAAATATTGATTATCTTGACTGAACATGAGATTAAAGTCTACCTTAGTTCAGTATTTATTCAGTGATAAAATACCAAACCCTAAAAGAGATATGAGTGGTTGTTTCAACCTAATCATCATACAGAATAGGAAATTTAAGTCTAAAAAGATTAAGTGACTTGTCCAAATGATAAGGCTGGTTAGGGGCACAGCCAGCTCTTAAATCTGACTTTCTAACTCTTGATCGTATCTACTTTTGTATATACTGTGGGGACCTTGTATTACTATGAAGAATTAGAATTTATGCAATTTTTTGCTTTTATTTTAATTTTGGTTTTTGTTGCAAGATACTTTAGTACTGTGGTTTATAAAGTCTGAGGTTTTTGGTTTTGATATATACCTAAATACTGTACATATGAAGTTACCTTTTATCTTAGGTGCATTTTTAATGTACTAAGTGGAGGGGTTTGAAAATTATTTTGCCATATAATTGTTCTGAGAATCTTTATTTTGGAATTAATAATACATTACCTGCATTTCTTAATTGCGCATGATGTTTTATAAGTAAATACATTTGACTTGACAACCTTTATTAGCATAGTTATAGTAGGGAAAGCTTTCTTTTTTATAATCATCTAATATTTTTAAATGTGTAATGTGCATTGTTACATATTTCAGATATTTCCTTAACCTAAGTACTCAGATATTTATCCAAACATTATTGCTATGGGGTTTCCTGCAGAAAGACTTGAAGGCGTATACAGGAACAATATTGATGATGTAGTAAGGTAAGAACTCTTAATTTTCTATTTCATATATTGATGTATTATATCCATATTGTATTTTCATTTAGAAAAGATTTCGAAATAAAAAAAGATGTACTATGTGATGTCAACTTTGTTTTTATTATGTTGGTGTTCTGTAACTGCTTTTGTTTTGCTTTATCAATGGTATACATCTTATTTGTTAGCACTGACCTTTTACATAACGGGGTGTGCGTGATTTCATGGACTCTATAAATGTCTCTCACTAGACTAATGCCTGGATTCCATTGCACAATAATATTTGCCTTTTATTTCACAATTGACAATTAGGCTTAAAAACCTTGAGTGTATTTAGTCACTTAAATTTATTCACCCTAAGGTACAGATAACTAATATACCATGTATTTTTTAAATAGAGCAGTTTCTAATAGGGCATAAGTGTACCAAGCACCTGAAGAAGTATTTGGTATAAGGGATCTAGAAAGGAATTGCTGGGCATACCAAAGCCTAACTTAGGCCATTTTATAGTTTTGCATAATTTTCTAAGTTATTATCATTCAGCTCAGAACTGTACTTCTCAAGGCCCATTTAAATAATTTTTAATACATTTATGACCTAAGAATACATATTTTCTGAGAGAAGAAATTATGTCTTGCTTTGTAAATAGTCTTAATATATTTTTGATTTCAGAGCAAATATATATATATTGATTTCAGAGCAAATATATATATTCGTAAATATATGAATAAACTAAAATGTCAGGAACTTTAATGACTTTTAAAAGTTAAATTTTTGTATTATTTCCTTGCCCTTTTTGAAAAGTATCTAGTATTTTTCTTGGGAGACTTTCAATTTAAATATTTGGTGGTTATGAGAATTAAATGTTAAATGAATAGGAAAGTACTTACTAAAACATTGTGCAGATATAGAATCCTTTTATAATAGTTAACCTAAGTATATAAGCCTACACTTGCACCCTTATATGAGCTAGCCTTAAGTAGTTTTTCTAAGTGGTTAATTTTTAATAATTTACTTTGAACCGAAGCATTTACATTTTTACTGCAGATTGACATTTTTGCAGCATTGAGTTGTGTCCACTTGGACTTCTGTAGTGTTTCTATTGTATTCAGAATTAAATTTCAGTATCTACAAAAACTACAAAAACCCTAAAACTTCTTTGTTGTTTTTATTACAATTATATGTGGTACATGAAGCTGTCAAGTGCTTTTTAAGAACTTGAGAATAGGGAAATAAATTTGCTTTCTCATGGACACAGTGAAAGGATTCTTAACATTGCAGATTCATGGGACAACAGCTTGATATGGTTTAGTCATTAATAATATACATCTACAGAAAATGCAATAGAAAATGTAGAAAAAAGAGTGATGGAAGTAATGTTGAATGGAGAGATCTAACTGGGAGATGGAGCAGTGCCGTCACCAGGCATGTATTCTTTGCTATGGTGCACGAGTGTTTATCAGGCCTTTTTATGGCCTATATGAAATACCTCACATGATGATCTACTTCATACTACTGTTATTCTGTATTCAACCAAGTACTAATTCAGCCAAAATCAGATTAGTATTCATACAGAAAAAGTATGAGTACTCTGAGTAGAGGACATGTTTCCTGATCATTGTAAGGATAGCTTTATGAATTAATCTTGTGTGTTCTTTTGAATGTAAATTAGTCTCTCCTGACTGATGAATAAGTCACTCAAGCTGATGAATCATCTTTTAGGTTACTAATAAAGTCCAGTTTACAGATCTATATATTGCAGTATCTGACCTTAAATTATAATTATTTCACCAAGAAAATACTATTCTGGGAAATAGTTTAATCTATCGTCTTCTGACTTTATAATCCCTACCTTTATACCTCTGAATTAAGATTGATACATTCAGTTTATAATCAATAATCAAGGTTGAAGTTTATTTTATCTGCTTTAATTATCTATTTTATCTGGCTTTTGGTTTTTTCAAACCTTTAATTCCTAAAAGAAAGCTTATGTGTACAGATTATTTAGCCACTGGTTGCTTTACTCAACTAATTTTGTCACTCCTCTGGTAATGTTAATAGCATATAAAAATGAAGAATTGTCAGCTGAATTATGGTAGCTCTCCTGTGGTTTGTTTGCTTCTTTTTTTGATTGAGTAAATGTCCAGTAAGGCTTTGTTAGCTTCCATTGCTCACCCCACTCTTTCTTATTTTATGAGAGAAAGGATGAACAGTGACCAGGAAGGAAGGTGTAATTTTTTCTATGAGCTAAATTGAAAATAAATAATTCCTCAGTGATTTTCCTATTAGGATTAACCTCTCCATGGAAATGACTGTCTCCAGTGTCTAAATGATTGAGTTCCTTGGTTGCTTCACAGTTTATTGGAGATAGTAGTAATAATCAGTAGGGATTCCTTTTTGGTTCAAAGGTAATAACATCTCAGTGAAAAATGTGTCTTTATTTTCTTACCTCTATTCTGTTAACAAACTATTTCAGTTGGATTTTCCTTTGCCTCTATATTGGGATGTCTAAAGAATATTTAAAATTATCTTCTCTAATTCCATATTTTTCCTATGATTTTCCCACTAAGGAAATAATTTGTAGAGTTCAGACTTTGTTGTTGTACATCATTTCTTTGAGTAAAATAAGCTCAAATTGAAAATAACTTTAATGCTTAAGTTGACCAGTATTATTTAACTGTTTTGGGGTATGGTTTGTTGAATATGGCAATATGACATTTTATACTTGAGGTACTCAAAATACTTTTGTTCAAATATTTAACTTCTCCTTTTGAGATTACCTGCTAGGTTCAAGAATGAATGTAAAAAATAAAAAAGGAGAGAGGAAAAAGTTAACCAAGCTCAAATTTTTTAATATCTTAACTGCAAATACTTTGTTTAATAAGTAGTCAGCATGGACAGGGCCAGAGACATCTCATGCAAGAGAAGTTGAAGAGCTAACTCTTCTACCACTCTCTCTTCCCCTTCTTTCTTGCCACTAAGCTCTTACCCTGACCAGCCAGTACTATGAAACGGTGTTTTATTCAGATTATTAGTTGATATGTCAATGTGAATCTTAAGCCCTCATATTGAAGTTATCTTATTTATATGTTACGTGGTATAAATCAAAGGCCTCATTAACAAATTGATGTTTCATGTGTTTAACAGACATAGCTTGAAAACTGTTCTGTACCTAATAAATCAGGGAATTATAGGCTTAATAGTGATGACCTGGCTTTCTTAGTGCACAACCTTTAATATGCTACTATGCACTGTAAATCTCCCAAGAGTGAGATTCTAATATGGTGCTTTCCTTTTCCTTTTTTTCTTTTTCTCTCTCTTCCCCTCCCTCCCTTCCCTCTTCATTCTTTCTTTTCTTTTATAGTATATTAAATAACATCTCTCTAAACAGTGTTCCATGGAGCACAATTTGAGAAGTGTTCAGAATGAGAAAAAATATATATTATAGCAGGAATAACAATATTTCCCCTAGACTTGATCAGTAAGAAATAATTTACTTCCTTTTGTTATTGGAAAGATTTTAGATGTGGGAAGATTCTCATATTTATTGTAAGGAAATGCTTAGAGCTCTGTCTTCTTTAGTGATTTTTTCAAAAAGCCATTGTCTTGTATATGATCAGTGTTGTACCCATACATAAGCAGATGTATCACAGACTTAAAAGAGTCCATCTTTACTTTCCTGCTTTATATGTTTTCTTCCAAAGAAACTTCAAATAGTCTTCTTTTAATTATATGTTGATCTCTCAACCTTAATTGTATGTTAGTTTTTTATTAAAAGAGGAAGTGTTTGTCATCCTAACATTATCATTATTGGCTATTTAGTTAAAAAGAATGCAAAAAGAGATTATTTAGAAGAAAGCTTTAAAATAATACTAATTCCATTCTCCGTTTCCAACAACTTTTGGCTTTTCCCCTAATATTTCCTCTCTTTTTTTTAACTTGAGGTGAAAATCATGTGATACAAAATAACCATTTTGAAGTGTACACTAAAGTGAAATTTAGTTTCTTCATAATGTTTTGCAACCGCTACCTTTATCAAGTTCCTAAACATTTTTTATCACTCCAGAAGAAAACCCTGTACCCATTGGCTGCCTCCTATTTCTTTTGTTAGTCTTATTTCCTCACAAATAGCAGAGCTTTGATTGATTTGACTGTTTGTGTTACCTGCACCAATTCAATTTTTTATACTTTAATAATAGGTAACATTTATTGTACATTTATTTACATACATGTGTTACTATTGCATAAGTACTTTACAAATGTCATCCTACTAAATCTCTGCAGTAAACCTGTAAAGATCCCCATGTCATAGATGGTTTAAAAGAGGTCAACTTTCCTAAATGCCACAGCTGGTAATTGTGAGGTTGAGGGTTCAGTCCAGGTCTACCAGATTTCAAAGCTGATTTCTTTAATAACCATGTAATCCTGTATATCAAAGGACAAAAACTGTTTAAGTCTTGGGCTAATCTAGCCTGTTGATGTTCTTTATTTGGCCTACCACACTATTGGTCCATATACAGTATGGAAAATCATCAAGCAAGGTTTTTTCTGGTATTACCATACCAGAACATTTCTTTAGGATTTGAGTCTCCAGATTGAAAAAAAACTTATATGGTGCCAAGCCCAGTAAATTAAAATAGGCCTATACCAGGCATATTATTATTAAATTTCTTTAAGATACTATTATTAAAACTCATAAGAAATAATGAGAATGTCTCAAAACTTTCAGGATCATTTAGGAATGATTAGGATATAAGTGGCACCTAACTTCTCAGCAGTAGAATTAAAGATGAAAGATGGAGGACCAACACTTCAACAAGTTGTGTATACAGCCTAGAATTCTGTATCCAGCCAAACCATCAATCAAAAGTACAAAAGTAGGGAGAAAAAAAACCCCCTAGGACTAAAAAACGTATGTGTCCATGCAACATTTCTTAGGAGAATACTGGAAGATGTGCCTCAGCCAAACAAGGGAATAAACCATGAAAGTAAAGAAAAGGACTTCA